AGATAATTTTACAATTACGAAATAATGAAATGACTTTATTTATTGAGCTTCAAATCAAAATAATCCTCCTTCACGTTCCTTAATCTGTAATTCTCTTCTCCTCGATATCTTACTTTTCTTAACTTTTACATCTTGCATTTCCAATTTAAATGTAAACATTAAATGAAAACATCTTCCTTATCTTTATCTACCATTAAATTGCTACAAGAAACTTATTATCATCATCATCATCATTATTATTATTATCATTACATTTTCAGCAAGAAATTTAAAAAAAAAAAAAAGAATATTAATAAATCTGAAATGGAATCATAACCTTCAAAAATAAATTTCGTTCGAACACGATCCTTCGTCTGTAAAAACACGACAGATATTCTTGTTTGCCAGTCCAGATCAAACAAACCCTGCTGATATTTCTTCGTATGAATTCATGAAAAAAAAAAAAAAGAAAACGAAGATTTCTCTCAGGAGAAGATCCCTATTGTCTCACGCTACGCATATCTCGCGTGTGTACCACGACAAACAAGCCTCACACGCGTGAGAGAATCACAAATACTTAACACATCATTATGTCACGGATTCCGCAATTAAAGGCGGCGAGTCAACAAACAGGAAGTGCGTATTTCCTGAACGTTAGCTGCGACAAACCTTTTATATAATGTTCTGCCCTATATTTTTTTTCAGAGCACCCTGGTAAAACCTACTTTATAAACCGCGCGATTCAGCCTTCGCAATTATATGCAGCCGAGTATGAAACCATTGTGCCGTTGTTGTGTCGTCCCTTCTCTTTCCACTTTTCCATTATTATTATTTTGTGTGTGTGTGTGTGGGTGTGTAGAAATAACCTTCGAAATCTTCCTTTCTTCGAGAAATGGAAATAGGTAATCGTGAACCAGGTCGCTTTTAAAAATTTTTCTCGATTTCGTTGATGGAAGGATCGATGGAAAAGGAAGATTTATGAAATTTATGAAATTTAATAATTCACGAAATATTGTGAAATATCGCAGAAGAAGATTATCGAAAATTTCTTTTGCGATTGTAAATTTTGTAAAAATGAAGCTGTTTTTATCTCCTGAATAATTATATGTAGAGTGTCAAAGTTATCTTTAACCATTTTATCGGAGTAAGAAAAAAAAAAAAGATATGCTTAAACTCGTTTAAAGTTTTTTACTTCCTTAATTAGTTTGTACCTCGATAAAGACCAAGTTTTAATGATCGTTAATTTTATGAATAACAGTATCCATTGAATAGAAAGATTTTCGCGTATTATATTTTTTTCCTGGAATGTATAATTGAAATGATTCGATGCATACAGTGCATTTCAATATTCATAACGGATTCATAACGATTGTAATGCAGAAAACAAGAATATAAAATATCGAATGGAAACGGTAATTGAATTAAAATGAAATCTTTTATCTGATTACCCTTTCTTTCTTTAACACAGTTAATACATTATGATCTAAAAAAAGATATAAAACTTTGAAGAGAACTTGGAAATTGGATTATTATGATTTTTTTCATCTGACACCTACACTTTTTCCTTAATGTAGTCGAATATAATAATAATGATAATAATAATAATAATAATAAAGAGAGAATTATAACGTTAAAAACGTAATAAATATATTATCGATATATTTCACGCCGACAATTAAAAAAAATTCTGCTGTTTGCTCGAATCTTACTTCATTATTGTCATTTTTATCATTATTATCATTGAATAATTTTTATTATCTAATCACGCAATTAATAGCAAAAATATTATGCTTGGTTGAATTAATTACTTACACTCCAAAAAGAAATTGTTTTTTAGTACGACATATAATTTTTTATAACGATATATAACATACAAAGATCCTTGATATCAACAGAAAATATTACATTTGAATGTTTTGATGAATTATTAAACTTAATCAATATTTCTTTCAATTATAGCATTCTTTCAAAAGAAGAATGTTTCAGGAAGAATAATACACATATTTTATGGTAATTAAAAATAAAAATGAAGAGTTTCATAGGGGAAGAATATTTAAATTACATGTATGATTAAATGTATCAAATAAAATTGAAATTTAAATTTCAATCACGGATATTCACAAATCTATTTAAAGGCATGATTCAGAATATTATCTCTAACAATGCTAAATATGCTAAATCTATAAAGGAAAGAAATTGTATTCTTTCAATTGCAATTTATAAACATTAACTCGTGATAAATTCTCGAATGTTTTCGATCATCGATACAATGTTTGTAAACAGAGGCAAAACAAAATTAAAGCAGATGAACCAACACAGGGAACGCAGCAGAAATGAAAGTATTGATTAAGTCACAGACAAGCTGATGACGTTGAAAATAAAGTTTATCTGGAGACTGAGGATTAAGCGAGTTTGTAATCCACTGAGTTAAACCGCTTGGTTAAGGGTGGCTAGAACGTGGATTCCGGCGCTACCGGGGTGACATCTTTCTCCCTCCCCTCCCTTCCGGAATTATTCCGTGCTCATCGTTAATTAATTAATTAGAATGCGTTAACGCACAAATGGATCCCCTTTCTATTTTTGAACGTATTATCTGCGTGCCGCGAAATAAACTTCATTTCTAAATTTAATTCTGGTCGATAAATTACGAATGATTATGCCATAAAGTGATTTTACCTAACCTGATAATTATTCAAATTATTAAAGATGATAAAATATTTATTCATTGTTTTCCTGGATTCTTTATCGTTCGCAACGAAGTCATGTTAGGAATATTGCAATGAAAAAATTTATTTCTGACATGTTAAGAGAAAAATATCGAACATTGATTTTGCTATCGTTAAATTTTACATTTCTTTTCCTTTTTTTCAAATAATCTATTATTGTATTGTTATCGTATAATCAAATATTATGTGCTATTTTCTTTTATTCTTTTTTCCCCAATATATTTAATTTTTTGTAATAAATTTTAAAGAAATCGTGTCATTTTTTCAAAATAAGAAAAGAAATTTGTTATTATTTCACGATAGCGAAGATTAGAATGTAATTAATTATTGGGAAAGGATAAAATTAGAATGTGCGTTTTTCATCTTTAGAAAAAAATTATTTGTAATTCATCAGTTATCAAAAAATATAATTAAAGCTTGTTAAGTGAATTTGCAAAATTTTCTCAACAAGAAAATTTTAAAAAAATTAATGGAACAGTTGTATATAATATATAATAAGAATCAAACTCGACAATGAATTAAATGCTTCGTCTAGCGTTAATTACGAAGCTTCTTCGCATAATAATCAGATCACGTGTAAAACGAAAGTGCGTTAATTATTCCGCGTAATTCTTCGCATCTCTATCAACTGTACACATAACGAAAGAAACCGATTAACATAAATTTCGTTTATCATGGAAATTTTCATTCGTTTTAGCGGGAAGTGAATAATAGCTTCGAGGAATTAGGGCAAATTGTTACTTGTATGAACACGAATTTATTATTATTCACCGTGTCCCCGAGACGTGAGTGTATGTAATATTATGTTTTACGTGTTGATAACAAAATGGAGAAATTTAGGAACGGGTATTCTCCGCGTTTATTCCGTTTTCAAACGATGTGACGTGGTTTTGAGCTGTGTGTATTCGTGTGCGATTTGACTTTATAGTCGTGAGCAAAAGTTGAACGTAGTTGAAAACGAGGATGAAAGGATCGAGAAAGGAAATTTAGTGATTTAACGCTGGCTTTATTCCGCGTATTCCCATTTCAGACACAGTCATGATAAAATTAATTTCAAAGTGAAGAACGAAACATAGCTAGACAGTATCCTGTGAGAATGGATCGAATCATAATTTTGATAGACGATAGATTTGTATTCCTTAAAAAATTTCCAGGTCACTTCTTAGTTTATTAAATAAATATACGTGGAGAAAGATACAATAATTCTTCTTTATTAATTACATTAAGAATCGAATCCTTAAATCAATTATCTAAATATCTTTACATCATAATCGCTCTTTCAAATTCGCTTATTCACAAAAATAGGCCACAGAAGTAGAAGAAATTTAAATTCCAAAGTAGGAAAGGAGTAATACAGGTCTGCGAAAAAAAAAGAAAAGAAAAGAAAAGAAACAAAAAACAAACTCACGAATTGCATGTTACAAAACATTATAGATAAGTTTTATTAGTCGATATTTTACAATTCACATTGGCGAGAGATCTCGCGATCATCGCGTCACTCGATATTCAAAATACGTGCGTGCGTGCGTGCGTGCGAACGCCATTTTATCTCGTAAATCTTCCTACTCGAAATCTCCCCTTCCACGATTCGTCTCCAATTTCGCCTTCAAACGAAACGAAAAGAGGAAGAATGGGAGAGAGAGAAAGAGAGCGAGAGACTAAAGGCAGCGTTTGCACGCCGATCTCGAATAATCGTGATCTCTCGCGAGAACGTGTAACCCACCGTGACGTGTACATTCAACATGCGATATACTTCTCGTAGCACCTTAGTCTTAGACAGGGAGGGCAGCGTAAGGGCAGCGGATTCCTCTCGATGCCAATTGCCAGGTATGACGATATTTCTCGTTTTATTTTTTTTTTCTATTTTTCTTTTTTCTTTTTTT